AGTAATTACCCCCAGTAGCAGCTTCCTTCCCCAATCTGCCCCCATCCCTTGGGGGGCAGGGAGCCCCCAGTACCCCCTTCCCTGCCTTTGCCTGCATGCACATGGAGGAGGAATAGGTTGCCTTCTTATTATAGGGTTTCCTGACATTGCTAGGGCTATACATGGTTTGTTATTGTAGGGTCTCACAGCAGTGCACATACTACTTTGTTATTGTAGGGTCTCTTGACATGGCTAGAGCTGCATGCATTTTGTTGTTGTGAATTGCGCATGGACACTGGGGTTGTGCATAATGTTTTATTATTGTAGGGTCTTATTGCACACACCGCTTTGTTGTTGTAGGGTCACTCTCAGAGGCACTAGGCTCACACACATTGCTTTGTTATAGAGGCCCTCTGGGGCACTGAGGTTGCACTCACTGCTCCATTATTGTAGGGTCTCTCAGGAGCAGCACTGCTCTGTTATTGTAGGGTCTCTTGGGGCATTGGGGTTGCACACGTTGCTCTGTTATTGTAAGGTCTCTCAGGAGCAGCACTGCTCTGTTATTGTAGGGTCTCTCAGGGCACTGGGGTTGCGCACATTGCTGTGTTATTGTAGGGTCTCTAGTGAGGACCTAACTATTGGGAGTACCCACAGAAAGGAGAGGAGCATGTAACTCCTGGGTGCTGGCAGACAGACGAGTGGGATCCCTTTGAACTAACAGGGCAATCAGCCACCGTTTCAAAGGCACCACAGATCCCCTGGCACATGGACTCTCCCGTAACGGGGGTGCACAGCACATGCCGGGCCCCTGTTCTCTCACCTCCACCTCGGCTATCTGTCTGTTCAGCAGTGCGATGGTTTTCTCCTTGCGCACTTGCGCCTCCTGCAGTTGGACTTGCTGCTGGGGAAGTTGTTTCTGTGAGAGCAAGAGAAAAAGTTGAACATATGGGTCTAATCCGGGGTGGCAGGGAGGGGGCGGGATACCAGGGTAGATGGGCCCGTGGGTCTGATCCAGGGTGGCAGGGAGGGGGTGGGATACCAGGGTAGATTGGCACATGGGTCTAATCCAGGGTGGCAGGAAGGAGGCGGGATACCAGGGTAGATGGGCCCGTGGGTCTGATCCAGGGTGGCAGGGAGGGGGTGGGATACCAGGGTAGATTGGCACATGGGTCTAATCCAGGGTGGCAGGAAGGAGGCGGGATACCAGGGTAGATGGGCCCGTGGGTCTGATCCAGGGTGGCAGGGAGGGGGTGGGATACCAGGGTAGATTGGCACATGGGTCTAATCCAGGGTGGCAGGAAGGAGGCGGGATACCAGGGTAGATGGGCCCGTGGGTCTGATCCAGGGTGGCAGGGAGGGGGTGGGATACCAGGGTAGATTGGCACATGGGTCTGATCCAGGGTGGCGGGAAGGAGACGGGATACCGGGGTAGATGGGCCCATGGGTCTGATCTGGGATGTCAGGGAGGGTGCGGGATACTGGGGTAGATTGGCCCATGGATCTGATCTGGGGTGTCATGGAGGGACAGATACTGGGGTAGATTGGCCCATGGATCTGATCTGGGGTGTCATGGAGGGACAGATACTGGGGTAGATTGGCCCATGGATCTGATCTGGGGTGTCATGGAGGGACAGATACTGGGGTAGATTGGCCCATGGATCTGATCCGTGGTGGCAGGGAGGAGGCGGGATACCGGGGTAGATGGGCCCATGGGTCTGATCCGGGGCATCAGGGAGGGACAGATACCGGGGTAGATTGGCCCATGGATCTGATCTGGGGTGTCATGGAGGGACAGATACTGGGGTAGATTGGCCCATGGATCTGATCTGGGGTGTCATGGAGGGACAGATACTGGGGTAGATTGGCCCATGGATCTGATCTGGGGTGTCATGGAGGGACAGATACTGGGGTAGATTGGCCCATGGATCTGATCCGTGGTGGCAGGGAGGAGGCGGGATACCGGGGTAGATGGGCCCATGGGTCTGATCCGGGGCATCAGGGAGGGACAGATACCGGGGTAGATTGGCCCATGGATCTGATCTGGGGTGTCATGGAGGGACAGATACTGGGGTAGATTGGCCCATGGATCTGATCTGGGGTGTCATGGAGGGACAGATACTGGGGTAGATTGGCCCATGGATCTGATCTGGGGTGTCGCCAGGTCCGGAGCTTCCCTCGTGCTCCTGCTTCTGTGGCTCATGGCGCCGCCTCCTCCCCCACCCCAGCCAGGCAGGGCCGGGCAACACGCAGGGACTTTAGCAGCTGCAGCCCTGAGCTATGGGGCCCTGCAGAAGGATCTGGACTTGTGGCGTCCCGGAGATCCTTTTGTGGGGCCCCCTGAGGCTGGGGCCCTGAAGCCCTGGTGTTACGCCGGCCCTGGGTGGCAGCCCCTAATCCCCTGTGCTGGGCCAGGCCCCGGGCTAGCTGGGCCCCCCGGCCGTCACCTTCATGCGCTGGTGGGCCTCGGTGGCCGTGATGATGTTGTGACCCTTGTGCTTGCCGAGGGAGGCGCACACGCCGCAGATGACCTGCCGGTCCTGCTCGCAGTACACGCTCAGCGGGTCCATGTGCTCCTCGCAGTGGTCGTGAGGCACCTGCTGGAAGCACTGCACCAGGTGCTCCATCTGCTGGTTGATGCGCAGCTGCTCCACCTTGGCCGGGGGCTGGCCGGGCGGGGCAGGCGGCGG